AATTCTGCATATGAAAATATAAGTAACAGCCCTCTTGCAGGCAGAAGCTTTCCAACTCGGGCTCAATGGTTATAAAAATGAATTTACTTATAAGAGGCTGACTTTATTCCAATTACTGTCTAAGACTTGGGGGGATAACTAAATAATTAATTCAAAAAAGTACATAGCAGTAAGTTGTTTATAATAAGACATATTTTTACCACAGGACACACAGTACAAAAAGGTATTTTTCCACATTAGTAATAAAGTTTGAATGTGATTGACTTTTCCATTAATGTAAAAATATTCCATAAGTTACCTCTAAGAAAACTGATTGCACTGAAATTCTCTTTCCCAAAGCAAACTGAAGATGTTTCTGATTTAGTTTCAGTCATCAGTAGAATAACAGCTAGGTCCTTCAACCAGTTGTACCAATACCCAAGTATTCTTACATCATTTTGAAACACTGAAGGATCTTATTTTACCTTTGCCTAATTATTCCCGTAGTATTCTGAAAAAAATGAGCTATTTCAGGGACCTAATCTTTCACATAACTATGCAGGCAGTCAGGTGACAAGCCCAAGTACTAACTTACCTAATTGTTTGGGTTGTGGATTACTACACATTCAGATTGAAAAGAGCAAGGTCTCACATACTTGCATTGTGCTCATATCTTTTACTGACCACTTGCTCTGATTATTGAAATTTGCTATAAAAGAAAAAAAAAAGCACGGATAGGATTATACCAGCATCAAACTGGTCTTTCAGGCTTAAGACTAAGGGCACATATATAACAGGATAAAGCATCCTGAGCTATGTTTGAATTCAGACAAGAGTCACAGTTTGGCATCCAATCACATAATATCAATTCTCACTCACAGCCAGACGCAGGAATAGCCAGGTGGGAAACATTCCTTTTCAAAGGAACACAAAGGGGAAACTCAGCCAGGAGCATCCCATAGGCCAAGGAGATTTTAAGAAATCTGCCCATTTGATAGGGACCAGACTGACTTTTTTTAAAGAGAAAAAAAGATTATGAGAAGATTTGAATGGGATCAGGGAGTGGCAAATAGGCTAGGGTGGTCTGGAGGTAACAGACAATGAAGGGCTGGGCTGGGTCAGAGATAACAACGAAAGAACAGTTGAAAAGATCATTGAGTATTTAGGTAGGGATGTGTGCAAAAGTTCAAAAGCTAGTTTGTGTTTTTTGGGTCTAATAGGGTCCCCAGGTCCCATACCTGGTCACTTTGACCCCACCACCCTTATTCCCTCAAGGTGGAATAGATTAACCCTGCTACATACCCTTATATCCCAAGAAGGACTGTTCTGAATGGGCAGAACCAATTAGGATAAAGCTTTCACCGAATCCCCTCCATTCCACACACAGTAATCAATGAACAATTTTAGGTTTTAGCATTAAAACAGTAACCCCAAATAACTTAGTTAACAATCTCACAACTTTCATAAGTGATAGCCAAATTTGTTTTAGTTGTAACCTCCTCTTTAACTACAAGCAAAGCTGGAAATACCTGGTTTTCTAAATGGCAGTTGTAAAACATTATAAGACAGGTTTAGCAGGGCTGATAAAATAACATAAATGGTTTTGTTGCAGTCTGAGAAGTTGAGACCCCTCAAGACTAGAGTACAGGACGGGGTCATCTGGAATGAATTCACAGACTCAAGCATTCTTTAAGTCAAATTGGCAAAAAGTTTATTGTTACACTATATAGCAGGCAAGGATTCTTAAGGAACCTGCAAGAGACTGAAGATGGAGCTAGGTTTATATGGAAAAGAGTATGGGAAAGGAATACCAGGGATACTGATTAGGGAATCTAAAGGTCCAGGTGTCTTTGGTAGCTATGGATGGGAAAGTGTAGGGAGTATACCACACATAGAGGGAGATGTCAGAGGATCCTGGGAATCTGGCAGGAGGAAGAGTCCCTGGGCCAGCCAGGGACAAAACTCCTTGGGTAAGACAAGACTCCCCTGTCTCTCTGTCCTGATTAGAGAATGCTCTGCAACAAGGGAAAGTTTACTCACAAGAGAGGAGTTTACTAAGGAATTGGGAGGCTTCCAGAGACATGATCTTAGGGCTGGGGCCTGAGCAGCCCAGCACTCTCTCACTCAGCTTTGTGTAGCTGCACTAGGGAGAGGGATAAGGTCTTGCTGGGGCCCACTCATAAGTAATGCTAGGCACAGTGTTGCTGGGCTGGGAAGAAACTGTCAGAGACAATGTTTCTGAGACTAGGGAGAAATTGGGGTCCAAGGGCAAGCACAGGCACCCAAACACAAGTACCCCATCAGTTTTACACAATTTTCCCACCCTTTTTGTTTCTTTCAGTTCACACTTCAATAACATACAAATTATGAAAAGTTGCTTGACATAACTGATACAAAAGTTTACCAATTTGAAAGAATATTACGTATTTGAACTTGAAACAAAGCCATTACCCATCACATGACCCCAATCTGTTTGAAGGCACTTCCAAATTAACTTATACAGAAAATCAGGCATCTCATCACCACTGACATTGTATACTGGTCATATCTAATTAAGGAATTAATAATAATAGTTAACATTTATAGTGTTTGCCCCCTGCCAGCTATTGTGTTAGGCACCTTCCAATCATGTGAGGTAAACTGAGATAACTTGCTTAAGGTCACCCAGTTAACAAATTTCAGATCTGTGTATTTTCCCAATTTGCCTTAATGCAAAACAGTATGATAAATTCTGGCTTATCTCAAGCATCAAATTAGGAGTGACACATTTCATTGAAAATATGACCAGAATGAATTGTTAACCTTTTGGTCATGTCCCAATTCACACAAGCCTTTTCTCTTTTTGTGCCCAGGAAAGGATCAAGTGTCAGATGTATTCCAAAGTGCATGCCTTATTATTTTTCTTTCCTCTCTTCACCTTGAAACTTTCACTGACACAGCTCCCAAACCTGCCTCTTGATAATCACTGAAACGCAGGTGGCTTACTGCTAGAGTTTCAAAGTGATAGTAAACATTTCTTCTGTTTCAAAAGTTTCCAAACCATTTACTCTCAAACCCTCTGTTCACACAGTTCATATAAACAGATTATGACTTTCTTTCTGCCCATGCTCCTCTTATTCTACATGCTTAAACTTTCTTGCCTTTATTTCTATCTACTTATCCCTCTGGTGGACTTTGATTAAAGCCTCTCTTAAGATGGCACATGTTTTATTTCTTTCTTATTCTGATCCTACTTCTCTTACCCTCCTCTACTGGCCCTTAGCAATCATAACCTATCCTTCACTAAAAATATTTTCTTTCTCTCTCTTTCCCCTCCACTCACTCCTTTGAGGCTGCTACAGTCAGTGAGGGAGAAAGGGGGAGAAAAAGAGAAAGAGCCTTGGTGGTGGCTCCATTTAATGGCTTGAGTGAGGGCTGTCCCATATCTGCCACCAGCCTTATTTCCTAGCTAATCCCAACTCCCCCTGGCATTCCACTGGTATCATGCCCGGCTACACCAAATGTAAGGTCTGGAGTTTCCCCAGCTGGGGAACTCTGTACCTCCCCTATAACCGTGGGGTGTTCTTTTTAATACCAAAGGAAGAGACCAAGGAGCTCAAGGCCAATCATAGGTAGTAGTTTAATCAATCATTATGAATACTTACAAACAAGGGGCAATCTTCAGTCTGGGGCAGCACCCAGACAGTTCTGTGGATCCCCACTGAAGAACCCCAAAATCCTCATGGTAATTATAAAAATAGACAAAGGCAGGACGAGCTAGAGAGTGCATCCCAATTGGTGGATATTTTTGGTTTTCTGCTTAGTAATGAACTTGGGAGTTAAGCCACTGTTATGCCTGAACATAAGTTTGTGTATTGATCATGTCCCAGTCACAATATTCTTATTTTCGTTTTCATAGGTCATAGTATCTTAAGTTTTGACTCAGTGTCTAAGTTATGATTTAGTATCTAAGTTATGATTTGTAAACAGGTCACCACGTTCAGGCTTCCACCTTTCACAGAGTTCAAGTTTTTATGACTTTTCACTTATTACTGTATTTTAAGGCTTTTCCCCAATTTGAATCCTACAAATGGGAATGAAAATACAGGTTGAGGCCAGATTGTGAAAGTTTATGAAAACTAGACAGAGGAGGTCGTGTTTAAAGAGCCCCTTCTGATAAGGAAACTGGGGTAAACAGGGTTAAGTGACTTCCTTAGGGCCAACTAGCAAAAGTGTCTGAGGTCTCAGTTGAACTCAGGTCTTCCTAACTCTAGGTCCAGTGCTCTCTAACCGTTGTGCCACCTAGCTGCCCCCTCCCACACCTTATTAATAAAATAATGGAACTTTATTTGGAATAATTTAGAGACAATAGAGCCCAATTCGCTCCTCTTATATACAGAAACATACATAAGGCATGGTGAGGCATAGAGATTAAGGGACAGGTCCAATGATAAGCATTCGGTACCAGATTTGGGAATGCACTTTTTAAAGCAAACAACACTAAAAAAACATCCACAATAAAAGTTAAACGGTTCATACCCCTCCTACTATTTTCTCTGAACTGAGGTCACAAAATCTACTTCCATGTGGAAGGAACGTAAAAGACCGTCTCCAACCCCGTCATCTTACAAGTAAGGAAGCTGAAGCCAGGCTGGTGCCTCGTCCTCTAAAGAACACACAGGTAGCAAATGTGTGTGTGTGTGTGTGTGTGTGTGTGTGTGTGTGTGTGAGGAAAAAGCCTGCCTATCCTAGTGTGTATTCAGAGGCTCGTCATGTCGCCCTTGGCCCCCCCAGATCAAAGTGAACACAATTTTCTCGCAAACCAGAGGCGCAGCCCGCGGTGTTCTTTAGGGGGAAACGTTCCCACTTGTCCCTTCTGAGCCCCCGTAGTGGAGCGCTGACGCCCGCCTAGGGAAGGTCAGTCAGAGCTTGGCCTAGCGGCTCCCGAAGGGACGGATACTAACGCTCTTCCCCGATGTAGGAGGTACGCGTGTATGCAAAACACAGGCAGCACCCGTGCCACCCCCCCCCCCACCCCGCCTTCCCTCCCCCGCCCCTCTCCTACGCCCCCTGATTGGGTAAGAATGGAGGGCGAGCTTGAACATACACTAGCGGCAGAGTCCTTTGCCCTCCGCCTCCCGCTATAATGAGGCGTCCCGAAACCCACTCTCCCTCCAGCCCATCACTGGCGGCTTCCTCCTTCTGTCTTCTTTCTCCCCGCCCCCACTCTTCCCCCTTCCCCCTCTCCATGTACCCCACGCCAGCCGCCAGCGCGCACTCCTGAATCCTCCGGCGCCTGCGCAGGAGTGGTCGAGCCTCTTCTTGGTGGCCAGCACGTGGGGTCTGTTTGTCCTGGGTGCTGCGGGGTGTCTTTCAGTTGGAGGACTGTGGGACCCGAAGAGGGCGGTGGGCACAGAAGGGCCATGGCGCCGGCAGAAATCCTCGACGGGAAGGTGGTCTCCGCGTAAGCCACAAGTCCTTCCAGCTTGGGGGCAGGGTTAGGCTGCGGGCTTGGGAGGGGCGCACACCCCCTCGCAGCTGAGGAGGGGGCGAGGGGAGGAAGCAGAGCTGTCCCGGGTGGAGCGAAGGCCCCGGAGGAACGTGATCAGGGGCGCGCTTGTGTCCGGAGTCCGGGGGGGGGGCTGAAGTTCGTGGCCGGGCGTCCCCATTCCCCAGGTAGTGAGGCACTCCCTCGGTGACCTGGGCCATGACTTGCCCTTTCCTGTGACCAAAGTTAAGATAGGAGGACCCGCAGATTGCGCCCTGGTTCCCCAGGGACCCCTCCTGTGTCTACACTGTTGGAATCCAGGCAGCCCTTTGGGACGGTCCCCTCCTGGCATCAGGGAATCTCAGCGCTTGTTTGAAGGAAAAAGCCATTTTCTCCTCTTTCCAGCCCCTCGTGTTGAAGGCGGGTCCGTGATCATTTTCGCTGTGGCTGTCCTTCAGAGCCCCCCGGGACCCGGGAGCTGATCAGTCCTTTCTTGGGCCAGAAGTACTCTTGTTGAATGCGTGATTGTGAGAAGCTTCTTGTGGAATCGTGCCGTGTGTTTCCTTTCCACGGAAGTGTGAAACCTAAAGTTCCCCAGGATTGCATTAGTAGAGGAGTGCTTTAATGCCTTACTGTAGATGTGAAGGTTGAAGTTGCGGGCAAGGAAGATGCGTTCTTTTTGAATCCTGTTTGTGGGACCCTTGACCTCGTCTGTCACTTAATAACGGGTACAACTCAAGTAGCAAAGTCCCGCGAAAGCTGTTCTTGGTGTATTAAGAAAGTAGCTGATAGATAGCATAGTTGTTCCCAACCATACTTTGGGATTTAGAGATGCAGAGAGAAATGTCAACTGGACAGTATTAGAGATAGCCAGTTAGGGTGAAGTGTCTTGGACTGAAAACTTGGTGGGCGAAGGGGACAGATCACGTAGCTGAAGAGTTGATGTCTTCAAGTAGACTTGAGAGAAGGGACCGTTTTTTCTTTCCTCATAGTGGGCACATTGATAAAAGCTTGTTGAATTGAATGCAAGTATTTGAAAAGTTGTGATGTTCAACGGGATAAATTTTTTTTCTGCTTGTCCCTACAAAGCAGTGCTAGGAGCAATGAATAGAAGTTACAGAAAGCCTAAGTGAGGCTTGGTATAAGAAAAAGCTTCCTAATGACCGAAAATTATTAACACCAAATGTGAAATGGACTGCCACTCCCTTAATGATTCTAGTAAGGTCAGAATTTTAATGTCTTTACATTCCTACTGGTAAGATATTTACTCTTGATTAGGTTGAGCTGAACTCCCCCCTACCCTCGCACCCAGAGATTTTACCTTGTAAAGAAACCTAGTTGAAGGTGGATCTCAGCTTCTAATGTCCTTGCCCCCTTCCATGGGGATTCATGGCATGAAGGACCAAACAGCCGGAATGAAATGGGTTTTTTTGCCAGGATCGCCGAGGACGGCTGGGCTCTCATGACCAGGCCTTGCTACCTCATGCTACCTTCTCCCCGTCTTTTCCTAAAATTATAAAGAACCTTTCCTGGGTCTCTTAGATGAGAAGTCTATTGTGCTCTGAACTCATGGGACATCCCCCAGGGTGACAGTTTTGCAACCCTTTTATCTCAATTAAAGGTGCTTTATTCCTCAGCTCAAGGCTATGATTTATTTCAGGACTTAATACTACCAACTGAAGTTATCCAGAAGTAGAGTGGGGAAGGGTACTAGCATTTTCTGAGCATGTACTGCATGGCAGGTACGCACCAAGTGCTTTACAGATATTTCACTTGATCCTCACAGTTTTGTGAGGTAGGTACTATTATTGTCCCCACTTAACAGGTGAGGAACCTGAGGCAGATAGGGGTTACGTGACTTGCTAGTGTCTGAGGCCAGCTTTGGGCTGAAAATAGTAGGTTATTAACTCATTCTGGAGGTTTTTCAAGCAAAGATCAGTTGTGTTTTAGAAAGGATTCTTGTTCAAACATAATTTTGTCTATGGCCCTGTCGGTTTGGTAAATTCCCCAACCCCCGTGAAATTCTTAAGGATAGCAATGGTGAAAACCTTAGACTGGTGTCATGAAAGGAAGCACCCACATGACTGGAAGACTGGTGTGAGTTTTGGGGGTTTTTTGGTTTGTTTTTTGAGATGAATAATTAAGGTCTCTGAGGCTTCTTCCAATGCTGAGTTTGAAATGGTAGCTCATTTAGCCTCACTGGGCCTCAATTTCCTTACTTATATGTAAGGTAAAGAGATTGGATTAGGTGATCTCTAAGGTTGCCCTGGCTCTAAATCTTTTAGCGTGTGATCAGGACAGTGGATAGTGTTTTGGGCTTGGAATCAAGTAGGCCTGAGTTCAAATATGGGCTCAGACACCAGTTTATGACCCTGGCCAAATCACTTAACCTCTGTCTGCCTCAGTTTATTCCTCTGTAAGCTAGGGATAATGATAGCAACTACCTTCAGGGTTGTTGTGAGAGAAAATGAAATAATATTTTTTAAATGCTTATTAGCACAGACCTGGCACATTGCAGACACTTAATAAATACATATTTCCCTCCTTCCATGTGTTAAGTTTCTGTTTCTCCTTGTGTGGAATCCTACATCTTCCTTTCTGTTTCTCATCAACATATATTGCTAACTTTATATGTTTCAATTAAAAATAATTTTAATTTTCTATATACTTACAAGACACTATTTCAAAGTATTTTTTTTTCTCAGAGAGCCTTTTTCAGTAAGAATGGTTATGGAAGAGATGAAAGCTGGGCCTCCCACTTGCCCATTTCATTATTTTTATCTCCCCAAAATGACTTGTACTGAAAACTGGACCTTCCATACCTCTGAAATATTTCTCTCATATTTGTGAAAGTGTCACAGAGCATGAAGAGCCGTACACATATATGAAAAATTATTATTGATGATAGAATTAATATCATAGGAATGTGATACTAAAGTGCTTTTTTAATCTAATAAGCACTTAAGTGCCACTGCAAAGCAATGTAAAACAGCCCCTTCCCTCAAGGAGTTCATATTCTCTTATAGTAGGAACTTCATTGATTTTTGAACTAGTTAAATGTGACTTGGGTTATCACTTTGTTGTCATGAGGAGCTGGTTAGCAATCTGGAGGCACTGATACCTGAAGCTGGGTCTTCTGAACCGTCATGTTAGCCACATCTTTTGAACAGTCCACGTTGTTACAGTAGCTAATTCCTATTGGATGTGGTAGTACAAAGTATTTTACTTAGGTTTTGTAGTTTTGTCCTCAGCTATCCTGTGAGATATGTGCTCAGGCATGATCATCCTAATTTTACAGATGAGAATGTAGGGCTCATACCAACTGTCCATGGTCAGTCACATGTTATGTGTCAGAGCCACAATTTGAACCTGTTTTCCAGACTCCAAGCTCAAGTCTACAATTGCATTTGCTTTTTTTTTGCTGCCATGTCACACTGTTGATTCAGATTGCAGTCTACAGAAATCCCTAGTTTGTTTTTTTTAAAACTAGGATTGCTATCTTGGCCTGTCTACCCATTCATATACTTATGCAGTTGAATTTTTTTAACCCAAAAGTAGGACTTTACATTTGCCCCCAGTTAAATGTCATCTCATTAGATTGAGCTCATGCTTCTAGTCCAGAGCAGCAAAGATGGCAGCAGTCAGCAAGCTAAGAATGATGTTTACATTTTTAAAATAAAGTTTCATTCTATTTAAAAATGTGAAAAACATTCTTAGCTCTCAACAGCAGGCTGATTTGGCCTTCACACCATAGTTTGCAAATCTCTGTTCTTTTGAGAACTTTGGGTATTCTGATTATGTCATCCACCTTGTTAGCTTATCCTTACAGCTTTGTGCCACTGTAAGTTTGCCAGCATCTAGGTGATTGATAGAATATTGAACAGGTGAAGTCTGAGTACCAATCTTTGGGACATTCCACTGAAACTTTGGAGAATGGCTTGGAGTGGGAGAGACTTGAGAGAAGGAGGCCAGTTAAGGGGCTATTGAAAAGGTCTGGGTGAGATGTGATGAGATCCCCAACTGGTGCCATGTGAGTGGATAGAAAGTGACACCTACTCAGCAGATATAAAGGCAGAAATGACAAGATCTGTCCACTGATTGGTATTGTGAGATGAAAGTGAGGAGTCAGAGGTGACCCCAAGATTGCAAACATGGATAATTAGAATTGTGGTACTCTCAATCATATTAGGGAAGTTCAGGGAAAGAGTAGAGCTGAGGGAGAAAATAACTCGTTTCTTTTTAGATATACTGAGTTTGAGGTACTTGTAGAACGTCCTGTCAGAAATGCTCAGTAAGCAATTGCTCGTGTGTGACCAGAGGTCAAAAGAGGCATTAGGATTTCATAGAGATGATAATTGAACCAATTGGAGCTAATAAGATCACCAAGTCAGAGAATATAGAGAGAAGAGAGGGCCCAGGACTGAGATAGGGGTCTACCGCTAACAGCCACCAGCACCTGGATTTGGATTGTGAACCTCAAAGGAGTAGTGGTTGTTGAGTGGTGGTGGAAGAGAGAAGGTCTGGAAATGACAATGGAGACTAACTTACTCGTCCTCCAGGAGGGGAGAATTCCAGAGAATCATGAGAGTAGATGCAGGTAGTAGTGAAAAGGATGCTTAGAGGAGGCAGGTGTCTGTGAATGCCTGAAAATGGAAATAGAATCAGAAGTTGTCTTAAATCTAGGGAATTTTGTTAATTGTTGTTCCAGAGGGCACAGTGAAGGGGGCAGGCAGATTTGAAATGGTTGGTTGGCAGTAGCATAGGGTTGAGGCAGTGTCTCTTGAATGAGACATTATAGGGGTACTGTTGAGGTAGATGAGAGTGAGAGGGTAGGTAGCGGGGGTTATTGATGTTTAGCAATGGAAGGATTCAGTATTAGTATGGGGGCGCAGAAGAAGTTTGCTGTCTATTGCCAAATGAGTCCAGGTATTGTATCAGTGAATGGGAGGAAGTCTGTTGAGAAAGATAAGTGAATAGGATATTCAAGGTCTCCGTTTAGTCTTGGGGTCTTCCACCTGGTGAAGTGTTTTATCTAGAGTCTGAGCAGCCTAAGCATCAGCTTAGATATTGATTAGTTTCCAAGGTGCTGGGTTGGGAGTGGAAGGATGTATTGGTTGGGGTAACATTGTGAATGCCACTTATTCATCTACCGTTTCAGCCTAGAGAAATGTCCTTAGACTCTCTTGAGTCAAATTACTGATGGTACTAGGGGTTGAGTCTACATTTTGAACCTTTTGTTGCCCCAAATCTGTGCTAATGATTTTATTTCATATCTTTATTGAAGCAACATTTATCATATTTCCCCACTTAATTAAGCTTAATGCATTAAGGATTGTAGGATGTATTACTTACCTCTTTTCTTCATTGCCTCCTTTTCACCTTGTGCTGTGAGATGCTTGGATTGTACTAGCATCTGTCAAACCACTTTTCCCTTCATTACGTCAATTTGCGGGGTTTGGGGTTTTTTTTGTTTTTGTTTTTTGGCTAGGCAGTGGGGTGTGCCCAGGTAAGTGTTATGTGTCGGAGGCCAGATTTGAACTCAGGTCCTCGTGAATCCAGGGCCGGTGCTCTATCCACTGCGCCACCTAGCTGCCCCTACTTGTCAATTTGGGACAGGGGAATGGGGTGTTCAGTGAATCTGGCTCTTAAGGGCTCCCTGCTTCTAACCCTTGTTGTCACAGTGGAGCCAGGGAATATTGACAAAGCAGCCCAAGGCCTTGATGGGTGG